CTATTTTAGAAGACTGTGTGACTTACCAAAATTTTTAAAAACTCAAACAACAACAACAACAAAAAAAACCCAGTTAAAAAGCACACTATTTTAAAAAAAATTAGTAATATGATATAAAATATTCAGCTAAAGTACAGCTGCTTCTTATTGCCTGATATTGGAAAATTTGGGTTTGTCATGAATGAAAAATGTATATCATCCGTGATCTCCTTGAATTATTGTTTTTGTTTAATTTCATTACATTATTAAAAAGAATTGGTACTTAGAGCTTGCTGACTCACTGATTGCATAAATGAAAGCAGCTGAATTTCACCAACTGAAATCACATGAAAAATATACTTGTTGGTTCTTGATCAGGGGTCTATTTTGGAGGAGATTAATCAAATAGGCTCTCTTCATCTCTGTTGCTTTATATAAATGCCATATTAAATTGTCAAAACAGCACTTGAATACAAATTAATTAACTACGAAGAACAGAGTTGTAGTTTGAATGATTCTTTTTTTGTTTTCATCCTATCATAGAAATAGAATTCAATCTGCTCTTATTACAAAATAGTGGGTTTTTTTTTTTAAGCAACACCATTTTTTCATTGTGAAACAACAGTGTGATATATTTTTAGAATTGGTTCATTCAATTTACTGTAATAGGAATGTTCCAGCCCTTGTAGAGCAATTGGTGGCTATTTTTTGACTAGATTGTTACTGAGACATGGCATTGTGAAATAAGGCATGAAAGCAAATTCCAGATCTTTGGTGCAGAAAGATAAATGTACTGGTTAGGGCTCCTGAATGGGTGTTATTATTTTCTGCTTCATTCTGTTTCACCCTTTAAAGATTTGGGTACTTTTCCAGCAAGTGAAAAATATGTCCATTTCTCAGGAATTACTCATCCAAAGAAACTGAAGCTTTGACAAAGATTTCAGAGGCAACCAATATAATATCACATGATAATATCACTAAATAGCTTATTGTCTCCATTAGAAGTGCATTTAAATGAAAGAAAAGAAGCCACTTACTACTTAGCTCTTAGAGTTGAAAAGCAATTGTAATTGTGAAACTGTAGCATATTCAATTTAGGAATACTTTGGTGGGTATGTTATAAGCAGCTAAATATAAGCGGGGAAATGTAGACTTAGAAGAAGGAGGAAAAGAGGCACTGCACTATATTTCATGCTACTTAACTGTGATGTTGAAGAAAATGTTTGAGGTATTTGGGGGCAAACACATCTGAGTTTAAGTACATCTGCCCCAGTTTATTATAATGGTTTTTGTGGGAACTTACTTGAGGATTTCTTTTCATTTTACCTCTAAATAATCACCCTAGAAAATAGGCTTGGTGTAGAAAGTGTGTGAATTGACCAGTTAAGTAGAGCTGAAAGACTGCAAGGTACATTTAACCTAGACAGACACCTTAAGCATTATGCTAATAGTTTTCCTCTGAACCTGTTCATGCATTCATATTTGTTATTCTGTAAAACAAGAATATTAGAAATGTTCCACACGGTAAAGTTTTTTATAGTCAAAATTGCTACATGAGAATTAAGGGGTAGGTTTTGTACATCTCTACTAAATACCGTATTTTTTCGGAGTATTAGACGCACCTTTTTCCCCTCAAAAAAAAGGGTAAAAATCTGGGTGTGTCTTATACACTGAATACAGCATTTTTGGCCTCCAGAAACCTCGCCCCCTTTGCAAAAATGGCCGTGCATAGCCTTAAGGAGGCTTCCAGAGCGCTCCTGGGGGCTGGGGAGGGCAGAAATGAGCGAAAAATGGGGCATTTTTTGCTCATTTTTGCCCCCTCCCAGCCCCTAGGAGCACTCTATAAGCCTCCTAAAGGCTAGGCATACCCCCCCCTTTTTTTTTTGACAAAAAACGGGCCCATTTTCGAGAAAAATAGGGCATTTTTGGGAGGTCTACAGAGTGCAAAACCTTTTTTTTAAGTTTGCCTCTTCAAAATCTTGGTGCGTCTTATACTCCAGTGTGTCATACTCCGAAAAATATGGTACGTTTGACTAAGGATATCGCATTCCAAAGTGGTCCCTTCCTCAGAGGCTTGGCATGTTTGGTTTGCTATAAAGGGACAAGCTTCCTCACAAATGATTGTAAATAACATGGTGCAGCTGCTCTGAGATGCTGATCCTTTTCATTTCCTGTCTTTAGCGAAATAGGAACAATGCTTTGAGTTTGTGATGTGGCTGTTTTATCTCTCTGCCTCACAGATGCTCTGTAAAGCTTTTCCCTTTATAATTGCAGGATATTACATACAGATCAGAACAGTACAATTACAAACAGTTGCACTCAGGTTATTGCTAATCTGCCTCAGATAGATGGATGCCTCCCTATGGAATTCAGGGCAAATGACAGGATCCAAATTGCAATGCTGAAACATTTTCATAGACAGTGTGGGCAGCTTTCATATTTCTTCTTACAAGCTTTTTAATTGTCCCTTAAGATGGGTTCATAAGGATATTTATTTGGGGCATTTTTGGAGAAAACTGGAAGGTAATATTTGGATGCTTTTAGAACTTTAGAATGCAATATTAAAGAGCAAGAGCATTTATTTGATTTACAGCTTTCAAAGATCATGCTACTTAAATTTGGTGGCAAAATGGTAATTCTTAGTGGTTTTTAAATTCTTGTTACAATTTTTGAAAATTTAACCGCCAACTAAGCGAATTTAAACAATCCAGAAATTGTAGCCCTATTGACTCCGATGAAATCATCATCTCTCCAATCATAAAGGTAGTCCTGATTTACGACCATTTGTTCAGTGACCATTCAAAATTAGAACGGTGCTGAAAAAAATGTATATATGACCTATATTTGAAGTTACAGTTATTGCAGCACCTCGACAGTCACATAATAAAAATTTGGGCCCTTAACCTCTCCTTATGACTAACTTTAGGGGCACTGCAACTCCCCACACCGGCCTATCTCTCTACCCAGCCCATCAGCACATGCAAAACTGCTGTGTCATGGAGGCCTTTGGCCTCTCCCACATCTTTCTAGGCAGCACATGCAGAATGGTGCGAAGCAGCCTCTGTTGGAAGGCTGCATCTCGCATCACCTGAGGGTATCTGTCAGCATCTGCAGAAAAACCCAAAGATAAGTGGAGCAGTTTATCTCCTGGGTGTAATGGGGTGGGGGACCTGACTGAAAGCTTCTCAGGCCTGGCGGGGCAGAGAGGGCCGAATATCTCCTAGCCCACAGCAGCTTTGTCCATGCTACTGTATCTTGTAGCTGGCCAAGGCCTCGCAGAACCTCCCCCACTCCCCCAGGCACCCTATGCTCTGCTTAATAATCCACAGAATCGCTTAAAACCTACAACTGGGGGCAACAGGATTGCAGTCATTGAGTGAAGTATTTGTGTGGGTGCCTTGCTTAATGACCGCAATGACTTAGGATCAAAATTTCAGACTCAATTGTGGTTTACCTGTATTCCTTTGCAGCACAAAGAGTAAAATTTGATCAGAAGGGGGGAAAAACATTAGACTCAGACTATTTTTTATGCAAACATCCTACATATAATATAAATAGTGCTACTCCAGTTTGCAGTGTAGAAATCATCCCACTTCCATTTTTCTGAATAGATTTGCCTCTTATCCACACTGAAATGCAGACATCCAACAGCATGAATGAATTTAAGTTTGTGCATGTATGTGTTAACTGAGCTCACATTCTATTTGTCCAAATGCAACAAAACATCCTTTTCCCCTGTGTTACTTTGGAGGCTCCACTGTCACAAGCTAACAATCTATGAATTTTACGATTTGAACAATTGTGTATCGTAGGATAAAAACTGGTCATCAGATTTTCTTAAGATGAACAGAAGTGAAAGTGAGCGTTATGTAGCAAGTCTCTTTTTGAGAATGAATCATCCTTTTATTTTCTAGAAACTCTTAGGATTTTGAAACAGCCTAATTGCATGATCAGTACAGCAGAATACAGACACTATTACCAATTAGAGTTCTAACATTTTCTAAATCTGCTGACTTATGTAATTAAGTCACACTTAATCACACTTGCCTTTACCAATCAAATTGCTGTTTACATTCATAATAATAGCCTTGACTTTTAAAAAAGAGGTGGAAATAATCTGAAGGCACCTATGTAATTTGCAGCCTCTGGCAAATTTTTCTCTGGAAAAACATTACTTGTTACTTCTTGAAAAATACTTCTTGTTGTTTATATGTAACATAATGTTCTCCCAACAATTCTAGGACTTTGGATTGACCTGGAAATATTGTACAACGGATCTTTTCTGATGACCCTTGAGACAAAGATGAATTTGACCAAACTCGGGAAAGAACCTCTAGGTGAAGCATTAAAATCTGGAGAAATTGGTAAAGAAGGGTAAGGAATATGGTTATCAGTTAAATTTTTGTACAGAAAAAAATTTGTAGCAGGAACATTCTGCATTTTTCCATGAAATCTTTATAGTAAATAATGTAGGACAGGTAGTCCTCAACTTACAGCAGATCATTTAGTGACCACTTACAATGGCACTGAAAAAAGTGATTTATGACCATTTTTCACATTTATGATTGTTGCAGCATCCCCATGGTCACGTGATTTACATTTGGATGCTTGGCAACTGGCTCGTATTTATTGACGGTTGCGGTATTTTGGGGTCATGTGATCTGATCAGTTTTTCGGACCTTCTAACAAGCAAAGTCAATGGTGAAGCTAGATTCACTTAACAATCATGTTTTTTATTTAACAACTGAAGTAATTTACTTAGCAAATGGTCCAAGAAAAGTAGAAAAATGGGGCAAAACTCACTTAACAAATTTCTCACTTAGCAACATAAATACTAGGCTCTATTGTCATTGTAAGTCAAGGACTACCTATAATTGTTTATGCGAAGGCTATTGTATGCAGTCTAACTCTGTTGCCCCCAAGCTCAAAATGTATGGATGAGTCTTTTATATATTGTTATTGTTTGATGCTTGCAATATGTATTGAGTTATACATTAAAAAATGGGATTAAAAATATAACTATGGTGGCAGCAGGGGGCAGGTGTCTACAGAGCTGGTCCAGCAAGATTTGGGTTCCAGCAGTACCTGACATTGTTGAGCCATTGTGGACTGTAACAAAGAGGTCAGTGGCCTGAACTTCAGTGGCCTACACGTTTAAGACCTCTGCCTTAACCAGCAAACTGACTCTGAAATATAAATATTTGTGCATATTGGGCAGCAGAATGTATATACAGACCAATTCAAATTTCAACTAGCCACAAAACGCAACAAAGAATTTTTCTTCTTCCTTCCTTCCATTTCCTCATCATCTCATGCTCTAGCCTGTGCTTAACTTTGGGTGAGATTTTAAATTCTCAGGTGTGTTTGCTGTTTTCCTGCTGAAAGATTCATTTATCAGCCTTGCAGGAGGAAGATGGGCAAACTGCAGTAAAGCTGACATACATACAGCCTGCACTAAATGGAAGAAAATATATTTTGCTGTTGACATAACTCCCAAGCTCTTAGGGAAGAAGTATTGCTACCAAATATATCTGAGACTCAAGGCACGCAGTCGTACAACAATCAATGAATGTGTTTAAATTATGTTTTAATAAAAGCTGAAATAAACAGGTTGTATTTATGGATGAATTGTGACTAATTTTTAAATTATTTTTTCTATTGGATCCTTCTCTGCTGATTTCATATTTTAGTTGACTAGCTTACCCGGTTTATGTTGACACTAGATGTAGCTACCTTTCACATAACTCTGCAATAGTATATATATTTTTGCCTCCCCATTTCCCCCAAATGGTTGACTTCTATGTACATTTTAAAAAATTAAAAGTTGTCAGTTATATATTTTAATTTATATTTTCATAATCAGTGTATGTGATACTTTAATAAGAGTCTAGGTTACACTATGTGACTTAACAAAATGCACTTTTTAAAAGGGTTGGCTAATTCTGTTTATTTCATCCTGGCCAAATAAAGTTTCTTAATAGAAATTAGCCACAAATGATTCTATATTGTCACTTCTCTAACTTAACACTTGTTCTTATTTCCCCTTCATTTTCTTTTCTTTTTAATAATATTTGGATTCGTCAATCTGGGATTTTTTTCTGGTGAGTGGTATGTGTCATATCATCCCATTCTGTGTGCTGTTGATTCTGTTAGTGCTGAAACATTCAGAAGTGTTGAAACTGCTTTACAGTGCATTTGTTACACAACCTGGGTATGGAGAGGTCAATTCTTTTGAACCAGCGTCTCTTGATAATTATGCACATACAGTTGCCTTACCAAATGCTCGATCAAACCTGTATGATTTCCATACTTCATAGCTGTGTGTCCTGGATACTAGTTCTAGCTGGAATCACTGCAACAGTTCCTGAAGTAATAGAGGAAAGGGAGTCTTAAAAGGATACCGTTTATTTCCCCAGTTCTTGAAATGTCTGCAGTATGTCTGCCTGTGGGGGTGTGGAGGGATGGAGAAATGTGCTCTCTAGATTTGGAAGCAAACATCACTTATTACAAGTAGTGCTTCTCTAATACTACAGATACTGCTTGAAGACAGTGCGGTTCCAACACTCTAGTCTAGTTTGTCTTAATATCTACTTTATTCACATCTGCAATGTAAAGCAATAAGTCTGGAAAGATTGAGCCATAGATAAAATGATAAGTATGAATGCTTCTAACTTTTGAATTGTTTTTCTTTAAGATTTTTCAGAGCTAGCCTTTTGAAATAAAATTGTGTGCTAAATAATGAAGGTGCCGAAGTGCAAATAATAATTCAGTTTCATTGCTATTCTGATCTAATATTATTAGAAAATCCTATGAATAGCCCTTTTCTTCATGGTTGGGTGCTTATGGCCAGAGATCTTTTAAGTATTTTATCACAGGACACTGCTTTTCCTTCTTTATGGTTTTAAAGAGAAATTTGAACATTTATCAGAAGGCTTGTAGCATTCTGAATATTTTCCCCTTGCTATTCTAGACTTCATTATAATAAATTAAAAGGTAACAAGGATATTTATTTACATTATGGCATTCATTTCCTGCCTTTTCCTTGGAAACACAACACAGGGTTTATAAAGGGCCTTCTCTGCTGTTGCTCTTGCCCTCTGGAACATCATGTGAGGTTGGTCCCAACCCTCCTATCTTTTTGTAAGGGCCTAAAGACATGGCTTTGCCAGTCGGTTTGTGGCCCAGTGGGGGAAAGGCACAATGGAGGTGGTTGATTGAATAATAGCAGATCCCATCCTCCCCATGTGTCTTTGGTTTTAAGGTTGGATTTTAACATTTTGTCTTTTAACTAAGATGTAATATAAGTCACCCAGTTACTTTATGGTAAGATGGGTGGCCAATAAATTGGATGGATGGATGGATGGATGGATGGATGGATGGATGGATGGATGGATGGATGGATGGATGGA